GATCTCTTGTAGATCCTACTTTGGCAGCGTTTATCGTATGCGGTCCCTTACAGTTTCTGGTTTCTCATTTTTATTTTTGACTGATGTTTTCATACGACTCACTTGGTATAGTGTGCCAGGTAAAGAATTTTCTTTCATTTGTTTTTGTTTTTGTTTTTTTCTTTTTTCTCTTCATCAATAAATAAAACACCACTTTTCATCACAAGCTCCTCAGGGTTCTCTTTAGCTTTAACTTTTGCATAATATAGTCGGACTATTAAATCATATATCTTATAAGTTTAGTACAACAAACAGATTCTTCAAACTGCTTCCTGGCACATCAAATTTATACTTTCTTATCTTTTTCTCTTTCTCTTAGCTTTACGTATAACTAAAAAGCTAGTGATCGTTCTCTTGTGCGGCTGGAAAGTGACTTTTTCTTCGGGAGAAAAGTAAAATTTCATTTAAAAGACTTGAAAAGGTGAAGTTTCAATCCCGTGTGTTTACTGTTCTGAAAGGGCATCGCAGATGCTTTGCTTTGTTGTAAAGGGCAATTAGTTCGCATTGCTTGAAGCAAATCACTGTCACACCAGCTGTCACGCCAGCTGTCACGCCAGCTGTCACGCCAACTGTTATGCCAACTGTCTGTTTGGGAGCCATTCAAACTTCCGTGACAAAAACAGGTCCTTGCCTGAAAGTTTGCACTTATCTTCGGATGCCTCAGATCCCCACTCCAATCACAATTACTCTCTGCATACCGACAGGAACAAGTACTCCCCTTTCGCAACATGATGGCGTAATTATCTCTCCGTCTAATGGGCAACCTCAAGCATGTTGGTCTAGCACGAACGTCAGAGTTAGTGTCCACAGGAACTCAGTTCTATGTCTCGTTGAAAACATTTTTGCAGATTGGACAAACTGAGCTAGCGTTCGTCACAGTAAAAACTGCTTCACTCATACTGACATAGCTCATGTAATAATGACTAAAACGAATCAATCGTGTGCTCATTTAGTAAAGCAATTTTAAGATTCCAATGACGTTATTTCATTTGCCGGTAAAATAAACTGTTTTTCTTTAGTCAACAGCAATCAAGAAAGTTTACTACTCTTAGTACTCAAGCGTAACATCTTGATACATCGCACTGATACATCGCACTAGTTAGTTTCTCTGTGTTATACTTATCACTCGGTGATCAGTCTTTAATATAAGCACACTAGTACTCATGTTAACAGTACGTCGCATTAGCAATGTTGTACGGGTTTAAATCATCGCATGCATCAAAGGGCCAGAAAACCAACCGATACGGAAGCAAAACGTAAGAAGAAGAAGAAAAAAGACAAAAGTGATGCAAATGAAACGGAAACAGCACGAGAGGAAATATGTGTGTCAGCATGATTTAATCGGTGGTATATTTCCCAATCATGTCACCCTTGACCCTGTGACGCACTTTCGTTCGTGTTAAGCATGCATGGCGTCATGCATGGAGAGGAGTTCGTGGAGTGATTCAGTTTATCAGGTTTTTTCGTCTGTACTGAGTTTTTGAACATTAACTCTCAGAAAGCAACATGTATCACGGCTGTTTCAACGGAATCTCTTGAATGCAAATGGCAGACGAAGTGTAAAATACAAATCAATATCTAATTAGAAACTTTGTTTTTTTTGTCACATGACAAAATATTCTAAGTGAAAAGGGGATTCCCCTAAAGTATACTACGTACCTGTTGACAAAAAACCAAACAATGAAATATTTAATTTCTTCAGAAAGAAATGCTCAGGACCTCTGGTGGCATATAAATACTTTTGAACTACCAATCTAATTTGATGCAGGGACGAAACCGCAAGAACAAAGGTAAGATTATGAATATAGTAATTCACGCGATGTGATCAACTTCATTGTCGTGCCAGCGTCGTTTCTTCTTCTGGAATCAAACGGCGTAAAAATACGAACAGATTGTTTTAAACACAGAGCTAGCAGGGAACTTGAAATCAAAGTAATTTCGAACATGTTAACCGGATGAATATCTTAATAAAAGGAAAAACCTTACAAATAAATAAAATAAAGAAAAAATAAATAAAAATATAAAAAATGCTACCCTGTTATAGAATGCACA